CATAGCATTTCAAACATGCCACATTTTCAATCTGTCCAAGTTACCAAGATTCCTGTTCATGCCTTCTATCATGACCCTTGACTACTGTAATCTCCTTTCTGGTCTTGATGCCAGGCACATTCCCCTTTGTGATGCTTTGTAGGAAGCAGTCAAAATCTGAAAAGCCACTACCCAAGTCTCTTCCTACAACTCCACTCTTCCATAATGAACACACTAAACTGCAACCTGATAACACCCAGACAAGTGGTGAATTGTGATTACTGCTCCTGACAGACTAAGAAAATTAGGCACATTTTCTGTAATTTTTGTTTCTGCATCTCCTCCATCCCTGCTGCGATTTTTGTCATCCTCCTGACATGCCTTTTCTTTTCGACTGTAAGGTCATTTTCTAACAATAAGGTCCTAACTTGGCTGGTCTCCTGGAGGCTACTGCAATATATAAACAATAGCATAGCTGGGATTCTCAAAGTTTTTTCTCTTTGTAAGCCATTTCATTGAAATGTTTCCACCCTAAAGGAGATGGTAGCAACCAATAGAGCAAGAAGATGTGAAGAGGGACATTTTGATGTGGAGATCAGAGCAAAAAAACCTCACCCTCTTATTGTGAAAATACAATGGAATCTTTAATGTACCTACAGAGTACAGCAGGCATGTACAAAGTCCAGCCCGCTGGCCAACTGCGGCCCATGTTCCGGTTTAATGCGGCCCCACAGGTAATTTGGCAATATCTATCTTTTATGGCTCCCAACGAATCCATATGTATTGAGATAGTAAGAATAAGAGCCAAAGTAAGAATAAGAGCCTCCGGAAAAAGGCGCTTTTTCCGGAGGATCGGGGCCAGTCTAGACGCTCTTTTCCGGCTTTTTTAAAAGCCGGAAAAAAGCGGCGGACATTTTTATTTAAATGCCGCGGGGGATATTTAAATCCCCCGCGGATTTCCCTACGACGACTCGTGAAATTTACATGCCCCTTCCGGAAGAGGGGCCAGTGTAGACGTAGCCCTGGAGTACAGGATCTCAGCTTTTAAGGCCTCATCCAAAAGGTACAGACTTTGCGACTCTACAAAACAAAGACTTGAAACATAAAGGAAAATCTCTGTGAAATTCATAAATATTTCTATTCTGTTTATATTATATGTGCAACTGTAGCTGAATCCACATTCTTCTTTACAATGTACTTGTCCCTTCATAGGCAACAAGAGTCAAACTTCAATCAAAATGGTTCTATTAGTTTTATTTCCTGACATTTTAAAAGAGTGACATCTGGTAGCTTGTATGAATAAAAATGTTTTACAGAAAAAAAAACAGACTTACAGTTTTAATAAAGACTATCCTCCTTTCTTCCTTAAATCATTACAGTTCATGATGAAACAGGTCTAGCATGCAGCT